TGTCATTATTATATATTCGTTAATATCGAAGTTTTCAAAGAGTTGTCCACCTGTCATTGTTATATATTCATTAATAACGAAGTTTTCAAAGAGTTGTCCACCTGTCATTATTATATATTCGTTAATATCGAAGTTTTCAAAGAGTTGTCCACCTGTCATTGTTATATATTCATTAATAACGAAGTTTTCAAAGAATCGTCCACTAATCCATTGGCTGAGGGGGTCCCCATGTGCACATTTTTCTTCATATCTTTGAACTATACCATTGGACATATCAAAAAAGTCTGGGTAGACTTTTGCTACCCCGGCAGTAACCGAGAAAATGACGTCATAAGCTACGCCTATTTTCCGCTCAGCTGGTTGTATGTTTCAGGGGTAGGGGAAACATAAATTGCTGTATCTTGGTATATATAAATCACAGAACAACAAAATATACCTTAAAATGTTTGTCTTTAAGTCATTTATAATACACACATAGATTTTGCAAATTAATATGCAAATGAGGTCACCAGAGGTCAAAAGGTCAAAAGAAACTTGTACAAGTAAAAACATTTCATTTTGACGATCACATGCTCCAAAAGAATCATAGAAAGTGTCATGTTTTGGTTTACCCAGCATGGATACTTCTGATTATTTCGTGTTTGACCAATAAACTTTTTAGGCCCATTTGTGTTACATAACTCAAAGAAAAAGAACATCAAAACACTTAAGTGCCCGAGGTTCAATTCCTAAATCATCGGCAGGAATGGCATTTATGTCTCATATCGAGCAAACGTAGACAAGTGCATGGTTTAGCTCAACAATTTAGCCCACCTTTTCACGTGACTAGTTTAATGTACCAGATGGATTTCGACGTTGCTCAGCTTCTTCAACAGACTGAACACTTGGGCATACGCAGAAACTAATGCAAGGCAGTCCTTTTTTGCGACATGCACATCTGACGCTGCCACATTTTTTTGCAGTTGCAAATGACTGTGTATTCCTCAGGAATTGATCTCACAGCTTTCACAGGCACTAGAATTTAATATGCTTCCTTAAAGCCAAAGACAGTAGGATCTAGTTTCCTCGGTTTATGAGGTGGCAACAAAGTCATCATGTGGTAGGTTGAGTAATATGCCCTCAGGATGTGCTGCTGTATTGCATGGCTAGTTGGGGAAAGTTGCTCCAACGATATACCTTTACTGTGATGGTACATGTAGTCTCTAAGTCTATCCATTGTCCTGCAATTGGTGTTCTTTTTGATGACTTGTAC